ACCCTTTCAGGCAATGTATTCCAGACCGTAACAACTCTTAACAACCTTAGACAAGTTTCCTTATTCCTCATGCCTCTGTTTACCTAGCAGTAAGTAGGAACCCGGTTGTTAGTCGATTGGTGGATTGTTTTCCGAGGGTAATAAACCCTAAAAAAAAATTATAATTTGGTCACTCGACTGTTTGTGGGACTCTGCTGTGTGCAATTGTTTGCTGCATTTAGCTGTTAAGGTGTGTCTTGAACCCACATCTTTCTGACTAATGATAAAACAGCAAAGGCTATGGCATCAAAGACTTCACCCAACATGCTAATGTGCAGACAGCTGTTGCCCAAGTCATGAGTCTATTTAAAGATGATTCTGCTGTACATCAAAGAGAGTTTGCATTGCATACTATTCAAGGTCAACTTGTGTAAACCAGAGCATTATGGAACACTGGTTATTGAGGAACAATGGCAATTTTCCAGTCCGCTGCTTTTAATATACAGTTATGATCATTCATGGGAAAAGGCTACAATCCAAGTCCACACACACGTATCTCCTCTTTATTTAACATGTGGGTTGCTCTGCCTCCTGAATCTTTACATTTTGGCTACTTCACCAAAAACCTGGATGTCTACCTATGTCAATGTTTTGCCTCATAACTTAAGATCATGAGAAATTGTGAACAATTCATGAAATGAGTCTTAATTTGGAAGCTTTTTTTAAAAGAAAACTGCTTTCACATTAAGACTGAAGTTAAGAATTTCTGCAAGGATAAGACTTAGTGGAATTTAGGCCTCCTTAAAAAGCAATCGTCTTTCGTGAAATCTGCATGGAAGATATGTAGCAGTCACATGTAACTTACCAGCAGCTGTACAAGACTAAATGTAGCAGAGAATTGTGCCTCATAATTTGTTTTAGATTGTATTTTAACAAGAAGTACTGAGAAAGTTTTATGAAATAGAACCAAAAAGCTGATCCATACAGCAGCTCAGATCACAATCTGGAGCAGAAAAATAGGTGATCAGATCAATTTTGTTTTCTTATATTTTACGTAATGTTTCACAGCAGACCATATTTGGAAACATGCAATGTGTTCGGTTATTAATATTGGCCTCTTGAGGNAAAAAACAGGGACTTCATGCACTAGAATTGAAAGGAAATTCCTGACTGTGTAAATGTTATTTCTTCAGGAAAATGATAGTTATGCCATGAAATGTACACTTTACGGATGATGCAATGGAATTAATGCTGTGGCGTCTGTAATGTGACAGAACTCCTATCAGGTTCGCTGCCTGACTTAGAATTGACACAGCTAGAGATTTTGCCCTTTTGCCTTGGGTGGGGAATAAAATAGTTTTTTTTTAATACGTCGGTTTGTGGTAAACAGCTCAACAAAAAGAACAGTTCGTGTTCAGATGATGAGCTGCTTAAGTTATGAAAACAATACAATTTGCATTTATAGAGCATCTTTCATATTGGGAGGTCCACTCCAAGCACTTCAAACAGCTGCCTGGGTACCAGAGCTGGGGTTGGGATTGCAGAAGAGGGTGGGTGGAGGGAGAGGGAAGATGATCGAAAGCACAGCCGATAGTTTGGCGAGGAGGGCGATTAGAATGCTCTGGAGCGCCTTAGTTCATGTACAAAACTTAACAACAGCAAACAAATTCATTTTTTGTAATTCACGTTTCTTTTGTAAATGTACTTGTACTCTAAATTACATTTAAGGTAGTGAAGTCTTTCTAGGTGTCCACTACAAAGCACAAAAAAGAGATACATCATTGTTACAAGGGCCTTAAGGGCTTATTATTAATAATAATTTTCTTATTAATCTATATAAATGCAAGTTGTTGTTGCTTCTTATGGAGCGAGAATCCGTTTGCCAAACTATCACAGGCAAAGCTTAACAACAACAACAAGATTTCATTTATAGAACGTCTTTCATGTCGGGAGGATGTCCCAAGGCGCTGGACAGTTGGGTCAGGACCCGAGCAGGGGGGAAATGGTCAGGGTGAGGGGAGGAAAGGGAGGGAGCGAGGAGGGGGTAGAGTCAAGAGGGGAGCTGAAGGCACGGTCGAAGAGAAAGGTCTTGAGACCGGCCTTGAAGGAGGAAAGGGTGGAAGCAAGGCAAAGGCACTGGGGGATGGAGTTCCAGAGCCTTGTAAGTGAGGATGCAGGCGCTATATCAAATGCAAGGATTATTATTACGAGGATCTTGAATTCAATCCTCTGGGGGATGGGGAGCCAGTGGAGGCGAGCGAGGGTGGGAGTGATGTGGTCGCAAACTGATTGTTCACCTTGTAATGTGTTTTCTATTTGAATGGATGTGCCAGGGAGAATGGTGTGTTGTCAGAATACATTTCTGTGTTTGGAGCGCCATCATCTGGGCAATTTACATTAAAACAAGGAGCAGTCATCAAACAACACAAAATAAAAAGCTGTGGCAAAGGAAGAACAAGCATAGATGAAGCGTTTTCTGTCACTTCATGTAGACTAAATCATTCAGCTGATTTGTGTTGAAATGTGTGTTATTTACTGCTGAAAGAACCCTGGTAAGCATGTTTCCAAAGCCAATAGGAGGTTCAGCGGGAACATCTTCTTCAGGACGCAGTAATACAAATGAAGAGATGTTCCAGTGATCATTGTCAATATCCTTCAACAAAACCAACATTAGGAATATTCTTTAAAATAATATTAATACAACTATTGAAGTTGTGAGATGATGTGAAAATTAACTGCTGTTCGAGTTATGGTATCATTGTTTGTGTCAATTCAGTGTGGTTTGCACGCATTCATAACATCGAGGCTTGATTATGCCTTGTGGTTATCATCATGACCTCACAAGGAATGTAGCAACATTCCTGATGGCTCTAACATAGTTTTTAATGTCCTTTTTACTGAAACTGATGGTTGGAGTATGTAACTTTGTTCAAAAGGTTCACAAGCTATAATGCTATGAAAACACCTAATACTGCAATAATCACGTTACAGCATTTAGATGTTAGGAGCAGAGTTATTACTGTAATACTAAAATAAACTATATTTAAAAATAAATTCAAGTTCTAAAATTATATTTCTATTTCTTACCCATCAACGTTTATTTTAATAATAATGATAATCATTGCATTTGATATAGTGCCTTATCACGCTCCTTGAGATGTCTCAAAGTGCATCACAGAATATACTTTAAAGTGGAGCGACTCTGTATTTTGTGGGGAAACAAGGCAGCCAATTGCGCACAGCAACACCCACACACAGTTGTGGATTGAGTGACCAAATTATTATTATTTTATTTTGAAGGGATAATTACCCCTGGAAAAATGATCAGTCAATAGACTAACAACCGGGTTCTTATTTACTATGTGTAGAGTAAGGAAACTTGTCCAATGTTTTGCCCTGCCCGGGAATTGAACCTGGGTCCTCTTGCTTGCGAGGTGAGTGCTCTCACCACTGAGCTACAGGATTGCACAAGGATGATGGAAGGCAAACTGGATGGACCTTGGTCTTCCTTTATCCAGCAATTCTTACATTGTCCTATCGTGTATCAATCCTGGTCAGGGCTGGACTGGGGAGAGGCTAGTTAGTCAGGCATGCCCTGGGTGCTTGGGCCAATGGAAGGATTGGCAGGAAAGAGAGAGAGGAAGAGGGGAGTAGAGAGAGAGACAACAAGATGACTGCATTTCACCCATTTTATATAAGTTCTCATCTATATTGCATTTGTTTTACTTTTTTCACTTGTGTTTTGTGTACCATGTTCAATCAAGGTTTCTTTTTAGCTATTAATGTGCCCATTATAACTTAATAACTCTTACATTTGATAAAGCACCTTGTCACATTGTCAAGAATTCTCAAAGAGCTTCACAGGATTTTCTCGTGAAGTGTGTGACAATGTATTTGTAGGTGAAGATGGCATTTTCCTCTCTTTCTACCAAAACAATGTTCACTTTCAGAGCCAGAGCCTACTGCCTGGGAACCCATCTCCATTTGCCTGTGTAATGGTTCCAAATGCAGTACTATTTTGTTAGCCAACAGACAGGCTGGTCACTAAAGTTTGACCTGATCCAGTATTCAGAATGTCCAGTCAAACTGCTGGCTTGCTTTCAGCTGACTCTGCTCACTTTAGAAAATGCGAAGCTCTTAGTAAGATATCGTAAGAGAAATCCTAAGTTATCTTAAAACAAACGAGGTATGCAGGTGCCACAAGACAAATTGTTTTATTGATGTTGCTCTGAAGGTTAATAATTTAGCATTTTCTAACTCTCGCACAATTTAGTCAACTTGCTAAGCATCATGGGTTTGTTAACTTGGGTGCAGTTATCTGTATGTACGTAGAGTGAAACTACATCCAAGTGTTTCTATAAAGACAAATTAATTGTAAGTACATTTTGTTTTGAAATTTTTCAGCTGTCAATGGGAAAACTGATCTGATACTTAATCCCAGAGGGAAAGGACACAGCCCAATATAGCGCACCATCTTGTTTCCTCTTTGTAGCTGAAATTTCTTTTCCTTTCAGGACTGACCTCCCAGTCACAGCTGCCATTTTACACTGCTATGAAATGTCTCTGCAATCAGTAATAGGGTCTTGTTCCCTATCACTAAAGGAAAGCAGTCACCTCTTTTTTGGTAGTGGTAGTGGAGACTGAGCAACCAATGGTATATTTAAATATTCAGCTCAGAAGACCAACCCCATTCAACTGACAAAGACCATGCTGGGATCTAACACATACTCAACTGAAATGCAAGGGAACATTTTGTTCTAAGTTTACATAAGTTCTGTCTTTAACATTAGGAAACACAGCGATTTTTCTTTTAAACATTTTACTAAGAAAATAAGGATGTCCTCCTGACGGGAGAGACGCTATACAAATGTAATTTGTTGTTATATGAGTGAGGGAAGAGGGGTATTTTATGGTATGAAAAATCTGCTATAAGGGCTGTAATTTTTTTAAATACAAGTATTTTACTTTGCAGAGAACTTGTTTATATTGTTCTTTCTTTATTCTCTCTTTTTGTTTTGCAGAATATGCCAGAAGGTCACAATGATCCCATACAACAACAGCACGGTTTCTCCTTTTTTTCTCAATTCCAGCCTCTCATGGAGCGATGACTCACAACAAATTGTGAGTACGTTGGATGGGAGTGACGGTGGCTTGTTTGACTCGGATTCTCCCACAGCCTCTCTGGATTTAAATACACTTAACATAAGCAACAATGGAACTAATGCCCTTGGCGGTCACACCGTTTGGCAAGTCGTTTTGATTGCCTTCTTCACAGGAATACTCTCCTTGGTAACTATCATAGGAAACATCCTTGTTATGGTTGCATTTAAGGTGAACAAGCAGCTGAAAACAGTAAACAATTATTTCCTACTGAGTCTTGCATTTGCTGATGTGATAATTGGAGTGATTTCAATGAACCTGTACACGACTTATATCATAATGGGTCGATGGGCTTTAGGTAACATAGCTTGCGATCTTTGGCTCGCCATTGACTACGTCGCCAGCAATGCTTCTGTCATGAACCTTCTGGTTATCAGTTTCGATAGGTACTTATCAATTACAAGGCCACTTACTTACAGAGCTAAACGGACTCCGAAAAGAGCTGGGATGATGATTGGCCTGGCTTGGGTAATTTCATTTGTACTTTGGGCACCTGCCATCTTGTTCTGGCAGTACTTTGTGGGTGAAAGAACTGTCCGTCCCGCTGAATGTTTCATCCAGTTTTTAACCGAACCCATCATCACATTTGGCACTGCCATAGCTGCATTCTACTTGCCGGTCACAATTATGACCATCCTTTACTGGAGGATTTACAAGGAAACTGAGAAACGCACCAAAGAATTGGCAGGGCTCCAAGCCTCTTCCAGAGACATAGAAACCAAGCGGTTTCTCAATCAAACAAGCAGCTCAAGGAGCTGCAGCAGCAATGAACTGCAACAATCAGGAATAAGAAGTCAAGATAGAAGAAAACTTAGAGGGTGTCACTTCTGGCCCACCATGAAAACATGGAAGCCAAGCATAGAGGGTGATCAAGAGCCAAGCAGCAGTGATAGTTGGAACAACAATGATGCTGGTGGCTCATTGGATCATTCAGCTTCATCCGATGAGGACGATGTTGTTTCAGAAACACGAGCAATTTACTCTATTGTGTTAAACCTGCCTGGGCTCAAGGCTGCTGCCAACCTTTCCAAATCTGCTGATGCAGACGACATGGATGTTTCCAATGACGAACTTCCCAAAACAAATGACAACGGAAAGGAAAGGAAATTCAGATCACAGCAGTTCGAAGACTCGGATGAGCAAGGCAATAGTTTCCACCAACATTTTAGTAAGATTCCTGTACAATCCATGCCATCAATGCAAACAACTAAAACTTCTGAAGGAATTGCTTCTTTAGCAAAGTCATCCACAACTATGCCTCTATCATTTAGAGAAGCAATGGTTGCCAAAAGGTTTGCATCGAAAACAAGAAATCAGTTAACAAAACGGAAAAGAATCTCCCTTATAAAAGAAAAGAAGGCAGCACAGACACTAAGTGCAATTTTGCTTGCCTTTATTATCACATGGACACCGTATAATATAATGGTACTAATAAACACATTTTGTAACAAATGTATTCGTGATACATTGTGGCAGTTAGGCTACTGGTTATGCTACGTCAACAGCACAATAAATCCCATGTGCTATGCACTGTGCAACAAAACCTTCAGAAAAACTTTCAAAATGTTACTGCTTTGCCAATGGGACAAGAGAAAAAGACGCAAACAGCAGTACCAGCAAAAACAAACCGTTGTTTTTCATAGAAAAATTCCACGTGAGGCTTCCTAAAGCAGTATTTATTCAAATGCAATTATTTATGTTTGGTCCTAATTAACTGCTTTGGTCAAGGGTGTACAGGCGATCAGTGTTGTGAGCCCACAGCTGATGTATAAGCTGCTTTTGTATTATGTGCGGATGGTGTTTACATTGATGTAGACGAACAGTGCAAGTATTTAAACTGAATGGTGTTTGTGTATTTGAATTGTATAATTTTGTCTTTCAGTTTATATAAAATGTTTCTGTATGCTTTTGCTTAATATTTATTTGAACAGGAGTGCAAGACTCAAGTCTTCAATGCTATAATCTCATTACAGCAATTTTTCGAGACTGGATTTAACATCTCAAATTTATGAAACATTCTGTTGGCATACCTCGATTTTCACATATGGGCTTACTTATTTCTTCATTCTAACCTCCCCGCCAATAAAAAAAAGAACTGTTTCTCCTCTACTAGGAGAAGATGGAATTCTTTGAGGCAGGGCTTGTTCTCCACATTAGGGTTACCCTGAACTTAATTTTTTTCTGTTCCGTGCCCTCCAGTTCCCATTAAAATCCTCTATTCCATTGCCACTACAGCCACCCATCTTGGGAAAAATTAAAAACTTTTGAAACTTAACTGTAAAAATGTGAGTGTTTAAATTGGGAAATGAGCTACAACCTTCTGGGTTTGAGAGTCCTATAATTTACTGCTACTGATACTGAGTTAGTGTAATCTATGTTCTTATGATTTGTCTTTACTGTAAACAAAACAAGCTTTTAAAGCCAACAGAGGAAATTGTTGACATCAGATGCGGTCTGTTGCTTAAGCATTTTATGGTTAAAAAAAGCAAAAACAATCAAAGACCAAGAATTTTGATTTTTTTAAAATTTAATAATTTTATTTTATAATCACGTTATGCAGTCCAACCAAAAGGAACTATTCTCGATCAAAATTATTATAAGTGCAAAAACAGTCTGACCATGTAGACTTGAAATTGCTGTGTAAGTTTAACTTGGTTTTGAACTAACAGTTTTTTATTGGATAATGATTCAGCTTTTTTAAAATGTTTTGGATTCATTATGTTGGCTTCAATGAGTTTTGGAAAGGTTTAGCCTGTAGAATTAACTTTTTATTGTTGAGATTCAGTACCATGCCCAAAGTTTAATATTGTAAAAATAATATATGATTTACAAAAAAAACTGTCAGTACAAAAAAACTCAATCGTAATTTAACTTTTTTGTAATTTAGTCAATGAGACTTGTGGTTTAATTTGGTTCCATAGCTTGACACGTGTTCATTTACATATTAAATGTAATGTTCTATTGATAGGTTTTATAGTAGCAATAAAAGTCAATGGAAAATTTTCCACAGTTGTTTTGTCGTTTTGTTAAAGGCGAACATGTTCCTGAACGTAACCATTCACAACCAATACTGCATGAATAAGGGTTCTGCTTCACTAATGGAAATGAGGAATACATTGAAAAAAGCCAGCTGATAGTGAAATAATGAATGGCTATACTGAGCATTTCCTGTTTACAAATGATTTTGCAATATTGCAATACACAAATACAAATTGCAATACAAATTTACATTTACATAGTTCTTTTCACTTTTGGAAGATGAATCAACGCAACTAATGGTACTGGCTGACCTCCTGAGCTGGGTGTGCGGGTAAGGTAGGAAAGGGAAATCTCAGTCAAAGAGGTGAAGGAGGAAGGGAGTCGGAGGGACTTCAGGATGACATTCCAGAGAGTGGGGGCAAAGAAGCTAAAAGTCTGTCTGCCGACAGGGGCAGATAGAGCAGGCTGGGGCTTGCCTAACGACTAGTTTAGCAAAATGTTAATATATCCGTTAAATTGGACTGAATCCTGTTGCAGATCCATGGCAAACAAGGTAAGTACTGGATTACAATTCAATACAAAATTACATTTGTATAGCGCCTTTCACATATGGAGGGAGTCCCTAGGCGCTGGACATTCAGGGATTTGGACCCAAGCGCGGGGGTTGTGGTATCAGGGAGGGCAGGGAGGGTAGGACGGTGGCTGAAGCCACAGTCGAAGAGGAGGGTCTTGAGACATGCCTTGAAGAAGGCAAGAGAGGGAGAGAGGCAAAGGGAATGTAGGATGGTGTTCCATAGGGTGGGGGCATAGGGGTTCATCAATAACACATCATCTGGATAATCGCAAATGAACTATACCAACATTAGTCTTTTTTTTAGCTTTCCATTTCCTCATAAACATTGCGTGGTCTCAGCATTGCTTATAAAACACCAGTAAGAATATATTCCCCACTTATAGTTTTCTTGCTAATGAGACAATGCCTCTATTCTTTGAAAATGGAGGCTGGGAAAAGAAGTATACAAGATATTATGCAATGGATTTTCTCCAAAATGTGATTGGCCTTTTCATTCCTCAGCCATTCAGCATGTGTTTGAGAAGTGTTGATGACATGATAAAATGCTGTATCAAATGCAAGGATTATTATTAAGTACAGCAAAGGGTGCTGGCAAATACTATGCTCCCAGTCCTCTTCCACAATTGCTGCTTTAAATCACCTGCCAGAGGTGCACAAAAAGACAACCCTTGTTCACAAGCAGTAAAACCATGAATCATTGCTCATCCATCATTATAATATGGCTACATCCAGAGTAGAATCAGTCAGCAATGTTGCCTTTCTGCCTGGCATACTACAAGCAATTACTGGGGCAATGTTTCAGACACAAACTGAGGCAATGCTACACATACGCACTGAGACAATGCTACACCCAGTCAGTCAGTTTTTCAGGGATCTACGATCTTTGATGAGTTATGACCTAAACAAGCTTATTATGCATGTATGGCAGTTTTGCGCAGCAGTTACACCTGGTAGGCATGCCAACACCCAGTGTTGCTGTAGCATTGTGTATCACAGAGCACATACGTACATAAGCATGCACATAGCACGTACGCACTGCAGTTACATGTCGTGGCTGCACCAACTCCCATTGGAGCTGTGGCATCGTGTGTCACAGAGCACGCATGTTCGCACGGATGCAGCATGCACGCAGCACACACGTACTCAGACAAAGCCAAGCGGCAGGAACAAGATAAAGATACCTAAGCGAACATCAAGCCTTTCAAGTACAAATAAAATTGCCAGACACAAGAAAGAAGGCCGATTAAATGAAACTGAAGAACAAAGAACAGCATGGTCGCATTGCATTAACTTGAGGACCTGCCGGATCACACAGTAAACCCCTTTGGTTAGTGAAGCTTTGATAAGATCTTATATTGTTCATGAGCTATGACCCAAACAAGCTCATCGCACAGCTTTGCTTAAGGTGTGCACACAGTGTTTATGGCATATTAAATGGTTTGTGAGTGGTATCACTAAATTCTACATTCCATATTGGATCCTTTGGTTTTCCTGGTAATCTGTAACAATTGAAACAAATACTTTCAATTATTTTTTTACAAATGCTTGTCTTGTTGCTTTGCACATCTGAAGATATTATTTCACTATAACAGATCCCTTCTGAAATATTCATTTTCAAGGCTAAAGCCTCTGGGACTTGGACAGCCCCTATGTCACAGCAACCACAACTGAACATATGTGCAGCTTGACCAGAACACGACACATCTTGAGTATGACATTTGGGGATCTGAACCCAATTGATTTGTCAATATTGCCCATTAATGCCTTGTTTATTGCTGTCTTACACTTTCTGAACATGTTGAGCAATGAGTTAACTAAGACTCCTAGATGTCTTTCACCTTCCCTTTTGGCATGTTCTGTCTCACCCACAGAGTCTATTTGCCTTCTGTTCTTTTATTCAATGTCTTATTTCTAATATTTTGCTTGCTTCCTCTGATATCACCATTCTTCCTGTCTTCCTGTCATCTGCAAACATAATTACCATGTACTGAGCTTAGTCAAGATTATTTACATTGACTGTGGAACACTACATATCCGCTCGCTACCCAAGCACAGCATTGGCAAAAAAATGAGTCGTACTCGCATGCACAAAGTTACCAGATCTGCAATTCAGTTGCACAGTGTAGGAGCTAAGTATATTCATTCAACAATTTGTTATATGTACAATGTAAGGTTAGAGACCGTCAAAGAAATAGTCAGAGAAAGAGCCAAACCTAAGAAAAAGGGAGAAAACAAAATAATCAGAGAGAAAACAAAATGGAGAGAGAAAGTCACACAAACTCAGAAACAGATAGAAAGTTGAGTCACAGAATGAAAATCAGAAATTGAGAGCGAGGTACTTTATAACGAAAAGATCAGAACGAGATTAAGATAGAAAGATAGAAAGTTAGAGAAATAGAGAAAGTCAGAGGGGAAGGGCTGGTTTGGTCTTGTGCTATAGTATCACTTCGACCGTGCCTTCAGCTCCCCTCTCAATTCTCTACCCCCTCCTCGCTCCCTCCCTCCCCTCACACTGACCATTTCCCCCCTGCTCGGGTCCTGACCCAATTGTCCAGCACCTTGGGACGTCCTCCCGACGTGAAAGGCGCTCTATAAATGAAATCTTGTTGTTGTTATATCAGTATAACTCCTGATGGAACAAGTTTGTGATTGATAGTCAATGTGTATTTTGCATCATCATCCGTTATTTGACAATTGTCTACATTTATAATGGGATTGGTTTAAATTAGTATGGATAACAGGCTCTCTAAAGTTGGAACAGGAAGGATTCCAATATAAATCCTCGAGACAACTCAGTTGATATCTCTCACTCAATACCGCTCACTACTTTGTCCTTACTACCTTTACCCTCTTTTTACCCAATTACTAATCCATTCTCATGTCTTAACCTTGAATAGCCACGATGCTAACCGGAGTGGGGACAGGGAGAAGTGAACAGAGATGCTAATGGTTTATTTAATTATCTCTGGCTTTCAATTAGAATTTGGAAACTGAGTGGAAACTGCACTCCCCTGCAATGTGTTAAGGAGGCTCTTCAAATAAGCCCTGCTAAGAACTCTCCCTGGCCTTCATACTGCCGACACCCATCACCATGGTTACCATCAGAAATAGAACCATTTCCTCATCTCTTCAGATGGTAATGGAGGGGGTTTAATTAATCCCAGGAGAGTTATTAATGATACTTTGCTTAAATGGTTTTGAGAATAATTATATAAAAAGGATCAGTCTGAAGTTTGAATAATACTGCGTTTACCCTGCAATTCCAGATGGTTCTTCTGACTTCCTGGAAGCCAGCACGGTGGGTGAAGCCATTGCTTTTACAGGACCTGCAGTAAATGAGATTTGCTCATCATGTACAAACAGCCATTACGATTTGTTGGTGGTATCTCTGATACTAACTTGGTTTTGGAGAATGACTCACCATGTGAACTCTCAACCCATTGAGACACAAGAATACTGCTGGTACCACTGTATGAATGGTCAGCGAGCAGAGCAAGGTTAATTCAAACAGTGTATAATAATTCTTGCATTTGATGTAGTGTTCAACACATCAAAATAATGTATACACAGCAATGACCCATAAACAGCCATGAAGTCAATGACCCAATTTTAAAAAAAAATATTTTCTTTCTAAAATATGGTTGGCCAAAACGGGAGGAAAAACCTTCTCTTTTTGTATGCTGCCATGGCATATTTAACGTCCACCTGAATATGTAGGTGAGACCACAGTTTAACTCATCAGTCTCATCTGAAGATGGCAACATTCCCCCATGGCTACACTGGAGTGTCAACCTAAGACTATGATTTGGGATTCCCTACATACCTCAACATTTTGAAAATATTACAATCCCTATAATTGTAACATTTACATTCTATGAAGGCCATTACACATTAGCTCTATATGTCTTGCTGTAACTTGTGACCCTTTATATAAATATTGGGTTGAATTATCCTTGGTCTAACATATGATTTGTAGAAACCAATTGCACCTACACAAAGAAATTAACTCCATATACACTATGCTGGAAGCTCAATTAACAAGTGTACAGCACAGAATTGATAGTGAAAAAAATTGGAATAACAACATGTATTTTCTGACTGAAATTGGGAGTGTAATGGATAACTCGTAGGCAGTAACCTGATCGAACCTGATAAGATGATAACACAAATATACAGTCAATTCACTTTACAGTCTATTCTGTGAAGCGCTTTGAGATGTCGAGAAGATGTGAAAAGGGCTATATCAAATGCAAGGATTATTATTATTTATTATAACATGATAAACTGCATGAACAAATAAATGTAAAGTGATCTGTAACAATTATCCTAACCCTGAGACTGATCATAGTTTTG